ATTGTTACCAGGTCATAAAAATATACTGCTTTTTATACCAGGTCAAAATTGAGGGCCAATAGCCCTATCTTGTGGCAGGATTCAGAGAGCCAGCCAGGAAGGAGGATAGAGTTACCTTTTTCACAATCTGAAGGGAGCTATTTAAAGATATGTACCAGATAAATGCATATTGGGTATTTTTATTGTGTTTCTTTTTCCTTCTGCATTTTAAAACAGAAGATTTCAGAGTCGGCCAGCAGCTGGTGCAACATTCATTATTTACCACTGAAAAACCAAGAATCTCAGCCTCTGACCCTCTATTATTGCTTAGGCATATTCTGGGAAGAGCTGAGAGGCAGGCAGGTGTTTCCTGGAGCCAGTAACACATGGTTTCTCCTGCAAACACTCAAATCTTCAAGTTGGAGTGACGCTAGTGATGATCTACCCCAAGACCCTACGTCCTAGAAGGAAGACTCCTGCAGCGTCACTGACTGAAGACCATCCCATCAAACGTAGCCCCTCCCTGGGCAGCCTTTGTCATCGCCAAAGAAAGAGCTGGTTGTTGTTAAATCTTCATAAAAATCCTGGGCAGTAGGAACAATTCCAATGTCTACTTTACAGATAAATGTCTACTTTACCGAAACTGAGGTTAGATAACTTGCCCAAAAGTGACACAGCTGGGAAGGGCAGGGCTGGAGTGGAAACCACAAGGAGACTGTAACCAGCCCGCTCACCATCTTTGCCTCCCACCCCCTCCTAATGATTTTGTGTAACAAGGCAAGATCCTCCTTCATATGTGAGCTGCCCTGGTTCCTACCCAAGGAAAATGACAATTTCCAAGACTGAGATGAAAAAAAGAACGAGAGAGTGGAGTAACAGTTCCCCAGCTAGAGTTAGGTATTCACAAAGTTAATAACTGATGTACAAGCAAGCAGAGAAAGGTTTTTGGCACCACTCTATATAACACAGAGATTAATTAATACTAGATTACAATGGAATTCCTATAGAATTACACTTGATCCAGACCCCAGAACAACAAAGGAATTCAACATGATTAATGCTTTGGATAGCAAGGAATGTCAGAATGATTTACCTCCTATTACTAAAAAGGGCTGCCAGATTGCTTTAAAAAAGCTCTGCTTGACCCAGGACGTTGCTATCTCCAGTGCAATCAGCGTTCTGAGTTTACTCATTTGACAGGAGCATGACTCTTTGCCAACTGCACTTGGTTTTGTGTCTCCCTTTTCCCCCTTTTTCTTCCCTATCCCACCCTCTCTCCCAGTTTCATTCCAGGCCAATAAAGTGATGTCGGAGAGGAGGCATTGTGAAATTCCCAGCAAGTCCAGATGGGTAACCTGGGCTGTTCAGGACCACTTACAGGCACGGAGGCAGCACATGCAAAACCAGCCCAAACAGCAGTGCCAGCCCTTCCACCAGGGCTGCAGGGGTGCCTCTATTTTATCTTCATTTTTCCTCTTCTGAAAAAATCTCTGCTGGTGAGTCATTTGTGGCTATAGGTGTTTAAAGCATTTATATGAGGAGAACGACAGATTGATGTCTTTAGCACAGCCTGCCTGCTCTGGTCTAGGAGAGGTCAGGAGGATGACAAGAATACTAAGGCTTAAGACGACAGAGTTGGCGCCAACATGCATTTAAGCAGAGACTAAGAGTCCAGAATTCCTGGACATCATAAAGAATCTATTATCATTGTGGTCACTCTCAGCAAGACTGATTTCATTACCATCTGTCTTCATCCACTGCTGCTTGGTGAATAAATATTAAATATGGAACTTTTCCTGCACTCAAGTCACTGAGGCCGAGAGGGAAGCAGTTATGTAACCATGTGATCCCCACACACCTCATAGCCAGGAAGAAAAAGGGGGTTGGGTTGGGAGATCCGGGGGAGGGAGACACATTGGGGTGAGGTAAGATCATTAGCTCTACTGAGTCGAAAACAAGAGTTCAGTTCTCGGTTGAGTAATAATTCTCTTCTCAAGGTGGGCGAAATTTAAGCAATCATCTCTCGAAAATTGGTCATTACCACTGGCTAATAACTGATTTGTTAGTTAATAGCCCAAGGTGAAGCCAAGGGCAGCAAATGCCGTGGCATACCATTTTTCAATGGCAAGATTAACAGATTTCAAGGGCATTATTGCTATTATGAACCATATTCGATTGATTTATAACAACGCTAATATGTTTTATTTTAAAAAGTGGGTGCAATGTCCTGGAAAAACTCATCATTGCCTGGTTTTTGAAGTTGAATAGTCACTGTATGATGTCCAAGAGAGACATCCTCTGGTCTGGTTCTGGGCATTGCTAAGGTCTAGGCTGGCCCTGGGTGGCTTGGATAGTGTGAGATTAGAGAATTCAGGGAACCATTACTCAGAGAGGCCCAGGGTATTTAATTACAACAATGTCGCCTCTTACCCTAAGCATATCCTGATTACATTTTTTTTAAAACCTGCCATTATAAAGTCTAGAAGGATAAACAGCAAGATTTTAAGTGGCATCTCTGAAGAGTAGGATTTCTATAAGGGAAGACAAGACTTTTATTTCCTACTTTTCAACTTCTGTTTTTCTCTTGAAGTTTTAATAAAATTTTGGTTAAAAAAAAAAAAAAATTACGAGTGCCCCCTAGGGAATCCTGAGGCTTGGGGTGGGCCCTAACATCTACTGGTAAGGCAAGTCATCCCACTGGTAAGGCAAGTAAAACAAGGGCCCCCAATCCCTAGGCCACACACCAGTACTGGTCCGTGGTCTGTTAGGAACCAGGCCACCCAGGATGTGAGCAGGCAAGTGAGCATTACCGCCTGAGCTTCGCCTCCTGTCATCTTTTTTTTTTTTTTTTTTTTTTACTTTGAGGGAGTCTTGCTCTGTCACCCGGGCTGGAGTGCAATGACATGATCTTGGCTCACCGCAACCTCCACCTCCCGAGTTCAAATCATTCTCCTGCCTCAGCCTCCTGGGTAGCTAAGAATACAAGCACCCACCACCACGCCCAATTTTTGTATTTTTAGTATAGACGGGTTTTGCCATGTTGGCCAGCTGGTCTCAAACTCCTGACCTCAGGTGATCTACCCGCCTTGGCCTCCCAAAGTGCTGGGATTACAGGTGTGAGCCACCACACCCGGCCTTACCTCCTGTCAGATGGTGGCGGCATTACATTCTCCTAGGAGTGTGAACCCTGTTGTGAGCTGCACGTGGTTGGCAGGGGAGGGCAGGGATCTAGGTTGCATGCTCCTTATAAGAATCTAACTAATGGCTGATGATCTGTGGTGGAACAGTTAAATCCTGAAACCATCCCCGCACAACAGGCTTGCAAGTGTGACTGAGCCCGAGGGAGAGAAGTTACCATGGTGTGGTAGGGCAGAGGGTCCCACTGGGAGCTGCCCTGGCCTTTGGCTGAAGTCGAAGTTTTCCCAGGGAGGCTGCAATCATATCCCCTTTGCTTCCTGCAGCAACCCACCTCTCCCTTCTTCCTTGATCACACAACTCCAGTTTCAGGCTTCAAAGGAAGCAGGGAACCTCCCCATTCCCAAGGATAAATCTTAATGAATCTAAGCTAATCGTAGTAATTCCAATTACTTCTAGTGAGTGGTTTAAGGGTGGGCATGTGGCCCAGTTTGAGCCAGTAAGATTAAGAGAAGATCTGTAGAGGGATATCCGGAAAAAAAAAAAAAAATTTTTTTTTTTTTTTTGGTGAGATGGAGTCTTGCTCTGTCGCCCAGGCTGGAATGCAGTGGCAAAATCTCAGCTCACTCCCAGGTTCAAGCAATTCTCCTGCCTCAGCCTCCAGAGTAGCTGGGACTATAGGCGCACGTAGCACCATGCCCAGCTAATTTTTGTGTTTTTAGTAGAGAGAGGGTTTTACTATGTTGGCCAGGCTGATCTCAAACTCCTGACCTCAGGTGATCCACCCACCTCAGCTTCCCAAAGTGCTGGGATTACAGGCATTAGCCACCTCACCCAGCCTGCAAAAAAGTTTTCTTACTCTTAAAAGCAAATGTGTGAGAAGAAAGCCCATTTTTCTGCTCACAGCATGGCTGGTGAGGAAGTGATGGCTGGAGCCACTGCGGCTTTCCCACAATCACGAAAAGATGTCAGTCTGAGGACAAAGGCAAATATGCTATACATAGCAGGGCAGAAAGATGGGAATAACCCAGGTGCTGCACTTGGTTGAGCCTCAAATGAACCCACCCTGCAACTACCCTATCTCCAAACTTACAATTTGACATAATGATGTCTAGACTGTTTACAATACTTCTCATTGAGTGTTTTTCCACTCACAGCTGAACATTTCCTGTCTGCACACTCCCCTAGTCTGCCTTAAGGAACACGGAATAAGGAAAAAGGCCTACAAAGAAGGAAGTGAAGACAGGGTCACAACAGAACCTGGGGGCACAGGGTTTAGAAAATCCAGAGAGCATTTTAGTGAGTTCCACACAACTGAATGATTCATTTATACCTTAAAGATTAGGTGGAGTCTTTTCCATGGCAAACACAAAATGAATGTGCACATTAGCCAGAAAAATAAACATCTACCTATGCCACAGCCCTCAAAAAAAGGAAAAAAAATCAGACTGCAGCCAGTGGAAATCAGTTGGCACATCCAGCAAAAATTAAGTCAGGAGGAATGTGTTACAATCACTCTAGACTCTCAGCTTCACTGAATTTGTCTTTCAGAGAAACATGTTTGTGGGGAAATAGCATTTAGTGAATGTGGTCGCCTGGCTCTCCCCCAGTGAAGACGGAAAATAAAAGGTGAGGATTCATAAGTGATTAGCTCATTAAGTAAACATTTCCTCACTGCCTGTGTCAGGTACAAGTGCTGTATGTCAGGACAACTCAGGACAACGGAGTAATTGATGATGTCTCTGCCTGCAAAGAGCTCACAGTCTGTAGTTAGCTAATAAAAGATGGCTGGGGGCTAATGTAAAATAGAAGCTTTATTACACGGGTAAGCAAGACAGATACATACAGGTTACCACCGAACTCAAGACCACAGAGCCTATCAGTTACTGGCTAACAACTCACAGGTGCCTGAAATCAGCAGTTCTGAGTTCAGGGGATAGAGCAGTACTACTTTTCCTCTTTCTTTCTTTTAGCTCTAGCTGAGTCAGGCATTTTCCAGAAGCTGAAGGTTGATGCTGAACTGCTGAAGCTGGAGGAGCCAGATGAAAGAGAGCATGGTGAGGAGGAGTATCAGGCTATGACACACATGTTATTTTGGAAAAACTTTTCATATGATTATTTATTTTTCTAATCCACCATTTTTGGAATAAGCTGAGATTAGCCCAACTAATGTTAACATCAGTTCTAGGCTTGAATCCAGACTTTTCAAGATCTCTAAATTCCTTCAGAGATGCTTAGAGGGATAGAATCCAGCTGAATCATAGTCTCCCAACCAGCTCTTCCTTACCCGTGGTAAGTACCCTCATTCTTTTTTTTTTTTTTTTTTTTTTTTTTTTTTGAGATGGAGTCTCGCTCTGTGACCCAGGCTGGAGTGCAGTGGCCCGATCTCAGCTCACTGCAAGCTCCGCCTCCTGGGTTCACGCCATTCTCCTGCCTCAGCCTCCCGAGTAGCTGGGACTACAGGCACCCGCCACCTCGCCCAGCTAGTTTTTTGTATTTTTTTTTAGTAGAGACGGGGTTTCACCGGGTTAGCCAGGATGTTCTCGATCTCCTGACCTCGTGATCCGCCCATCTCGGCCTCCCAAAGTGCTGGGATTACAGGCTTGAGCCACCGCGCCCGGCCAAGTACCCTCATTCTAAACATTTCCATCTCTCCTCACCCTCTCTGCCTCCATCAAAATTCCATCTCACTGTTGTGTCATCTCTTTAACATTGTATGTTCTTCTCAGAATCTGAGATACTAAATGCTACTAATAGGTATGAATTGGTTAATCTGGTACCTCCGCCAGGTAACATACATGTATTTTTACAGGAACTTTACCTGAGGTAGTTTTCTAACCCTCTGGTTAATGATTCTCATGGTGAGGATTTTTAAGTATTCTGGAAAATTAATGAAGAAAGTTGGGAAAATACTCCTAAAAGCACATCCGGCCAAGCCATTTGAATTCACTTATGTGTAGGGTAGGGTGGGTCACCTCCTGAGTTATCCAAATACATTCTGTGAGTTTGCATGAAACACTTCTCCTGAAAAGTAACTCACATGTTAACAATCTTGCTCCAGAAGATTCCTGTGCTCACCCAATGTTTGCTACGAGCCTAGGAGTGTGGCAGTCATAGAATGCACTGTTAAATTGAGTTTAGACATTCATTTCCCTTTAGGGGAGAGCAAGATGTTCTGCTTAATGATGGTTGCCTTCCCCTGCATATGAGACAGGCAAGCCAACCACGATAAACAGCACCAAAATCTCAGAGGCTTAAAACAGTGAAGATTTGTTTCACATGACATTTAAGCAGCTCTTTTCCAACTGATGATTCAGAAAGCAGGTTCCTTTGATTTGGGGTTCTGCATAAACGGACAAGTCTGCACAAATTCACAGCTTACAAACTTTCCCGGGCTTCATTTCTGAGTCAGGGGTGCAGAGAAGGAAGAACAAGGAGTCAGAGGAGGTCTTAGAGGCCAGGACTGGAATGGGCAAATAATACTTCGACCCACATGTTGGTGGCCAGAACTCAGTCACGTGCACACCTGAGTGCAGAGGAGGCTGGGAAAGGTAGTTTCACTGTGTGCATGGTGAGGAAGTAACAAGAGTAAGTGAGCGGAACCTGCCATACCCTGAAACCTGGAGGGCTAATGGAGAACTATTCATTCCCTCCAAACAGGCCCCTTACTCTACTGACCCCCAGCTGCAACAGACCACATCTGACCAGACTCCAGTCTAATTTTTTTTTTTTTTTTTTTTTTTAGACGGATCCCTCTGCCCCAGCTGAGTGCATGCCGATCTCAGCTCACTGCAAGTCCTCCGTTACGCATTCTCCCCAGCTCCGAGCAGCTGGACTACAGGCCCCCCCCCCGGCTAGGTTTTTTTTTTTTTTTTTTTTTTTTTTTTTTAGAGACTTTACTTTTAGCCAGGTTCCGATCCTGACCTCGACCCCCCCCCCCCAAGCTGATCGCTTGCCCCGCCCCCCCAGTCTAATTTTTAAACCACTCCCCCGGCGAGTTTCAGTTTATAAGACTAAAAGCAGGATCCTTGGAGAAATAAAGACTGAAGAGCTGGATATTCTCTTATGATAGATTCTTCTGACAAAAATTATCTTCAGTTTGAGAAAAATTATACGCCTTTTAGTGCCTTTCACTTTCCCAGAAAACATGATTTTCCTCTTTAGAAATCAATTCCACTGCCCAAAACTATATCCATGGATACCTAAGGTCTGAGAACCATATGCAAATATAAGATATTTAGGCTTCTGGAGAAACCGGCCTCAAAGCTCCCTGTTTGAGTTTGATTAGCTTTCCCTGCTGTGTACCAACAGAATTTTTGTTGTTGTTGTTTGTTGGCCACTTCACAGAAAACTACAGTCAAAGGAGGACTAATCCAAGGGATTGCAAAGACTCTTTGGTCCAGACATCAGTTTATCTAGGCAGTCACCACTGATGGTCCAAGTTCATCCACTTGGTCCTGAGAAAACCTTCTCAAAGTGCCTGGGGGAAAATCCGTGGTTTCACTGAGACACCAATGAGGTGATGTCTGGTTTGTATTCAACAGGATAATTATTCAATAACAAATTATTAATTTATGCCAGAAACTAAAGTATGGATGCTGTCAAATTACAGCATGAATAATAGAGAAGACCACACCTTGGATGACACTTTGAGAATCTGATAGAATTGATTCCCCCTCTCACCTGGCACCATCCGGGCAGAACCAAAGACCAGCTTGCCTGCTTGATCTGAGCAGCACAGAGTGACAGAGAAAACGACTGTTTTGTGAATGATCAACCTCACTCAAAGTTGACATTTTAACATTGCAGGTAAAGGTGAATTTGACTAGTGAAAATGTTACAAGCAAAAACTTTTTTGGAAGGCTTTAAGATTTAAAGGGTCTTTTTAGGTCACAAGCTTTTTATCTTTGAAATCTCTGGATTTAATGAGTACTTACTATTTGCCATGAAATATTCTAGAAGACTTTTTATTTTTATTTTTATTTTTTTAAGACGGAGTCTTGCTCTGTTGGCCAGGCTAGAGTGCAGTGGCACAATCTTGGCTCACTGCAACCTCCACCTCCAGGGTTCAAGCGATTCTCCTGCCTCAGCCTCCTGAGAAGCTGAGACCACAGGCGTGCACCACCACACCCGGCTAATTTTTTCTATTTTTAGTAGAGATGGGGTTTCCCCACGTTGGCCAGGCTGGTCTCAAACTCCTGACCTCAAGTGATCCACCCACTTCAGCCTCCCAAAGTGCTGGGATTACAGGAGTGAGCCACCACACGCAGCCCGATTCTAGAAGACGTTAAATGGTTTATTCCATTGACTATTTAGAGTAATCCAATGACATAGATACAATTCCTGTCTCCATTTTGCAGATGAGGAAAATGATATATTCGTTTAAGGTAGCATTAATAATACCTCATATTTGTATCAGGTACTGCAGGTTATAAAAATATTTTTACTTGCATTATTTCTTTTGATCCTTACAACAACATAAGAGATAGCTGAAGTATGTCATATTTTTCCATTTTATAGATGAGAAAACTGACACTAGGAGGAGTTTAATTAGCTGATCAACATCCCTTAGGAAATGTTGGGACCAGGACTCAAATCTCAATCTCCTGACTTCCAACCTCATTGCTCTTTCTACTACAACACACTACTCTTTTGAGAAAAGCACCCATAACACATTACTCATTAGAGAAAAGCCCTTTCTTTTCAAGAGAGTGGACTAAAGCAAAAAATTAAATGTGTAGCCTATCTTTGTACCTTTTAGTAGTGTCTACCCAAAGGTAATATGAAAAGAAAAGATAGACCATGCAAAATACTGTCTGAATAGTCACTTTCTTTGGTAGATAGAAGAGAATGTTCATAGGAGAGTCAGCTCCGTTGGGTCCACCTATGAGCGCAAATGAATTGGACTCGATGTGGACCCCCAAGCATTGAGCATATAGAGAACTCAGCAATAAATTTCAGAGCCCCACTGGGCAAAGTGCCTCACGCTTGTAATCCCAGCACTCTGAGAGCCTGAGGCAGGTGGATCACCTGAGGTCAGAAGTTCGAGACCAGCCTAGCCAACATGGTAAAACCCAGTCTCTACTAAAAATATAAAAATTAGCCAGGCATGGTGGTGAGTGCCTGTAATCCCAGCTACTTGGGAGGCTGAGTCAGGAGAATTGCTTGAACCTGGGAGGTGGAGGTTGCAGTGAGCCAAAATCACACCACTGCTCCAGTCTGGGTGACAGAGTGAGACTCCATCTCAAAATTTAAAAAAAACTTCAGAGCCCCAGAGGTATGAAATTCTGAATAAAGTCTGCCTCCCCTCCTGCAAGAAGGCCTTTTCAACATCCCCAGCCCACAATGGTCTTCCTTCTTATAAATGTATCTCTCTCTCAAAGTCTACACCACACAATCTACTGCCTGAATGATATCTGAGTTTTATCACCTTCTATTTATCACAGAAATACATGTCTAGCCAGACTGATTATTAACTCCTCGAAAGCAAAAACCATGTCTCTCTCTTACTTTTGTATTCACCAGATGATCAGCACCATTATGAGGCCATATGAGTAACTGCTAAAACTTGAGGGATATTTCTAATGGTAAGAGTCATTCCATCAAAATACTAATATTATATGATTAAAACTAACCACTTATAAGCTTATCACACTGTATTGAGAATTTATTCTACAGAATTATGTTTCAGTGTGTCTAATCTGACCCATGTTTTAGCCAGAGCTACATAATAAAGAAACATGTTTAAGACAGTTTCCCTGCATGTAGATAATATCATTTAAAACCTAGTACTAAATTTTGAACTCCCAGAAATGAGAGAATGAGAAGGCTGGTTAAATATTTGGTATTTATACATAGTACATAGAAGTAAATCATAATAAAGGTACATTGTAGACATTTTCATCCAGCAATTTTAATGAAAACAAAAGCCTTTAAATCTCTATTACTGTTTCAAGAAAAATGGCACTATTTTCACAACTTAGTTACCTAATGAACTGTGCATGTCTTTTCCTTTGTCTTGGAGGATGAGCAGAAATGAATAGGAGAAGCCATGCTTGGCAATAATATTACTGATTACTAGGACATCTTTTGTTACTGCCTTTACTATACAGACCTTGAATGATTTACACCTCAAGTTTGTGACCATCAATATATAAGAACATATAGTGGACAGCATAAAAAGGTTGATGGTCAGAAACAACCAGCAGAAAACCCTATTCATTTCCATTTATCATCCTAGGAACACAGGATAAGAACAAACAATAACTCCCTGTTCTTTATCTTCCACAGAAATGTCTTCCCATTATCTCTCTCCATCTGAGAACCAAGGCCATGTCCCTGGACATAAAAACCCACTTACTTGGGCAAAGCATCCTGGGTAACCAGAAGTCAGCATGCTAAACCTTTGTGTGGGTATATGCCTATTGTATGCACATCTGCCAAGATCTTAGGATGCCCGTAACTGCCAAATGGATATGGCTACATATTAAAGCTACTGTTCATAATCATACTCAATAGTACAAGAAATCATCCACAAGCAAGTTCATGACTGCAGTTCTTGACCTAACTAGTCTCTCTGACTCACTGGCATCATGAGCTTAGGAATATTTATGACCACGATCTAGAAATGCAAGTGGGAAGAAAAATAGACTTCTTCACGAAGCCAGGGCAAATCCCAAGTCTAGAGAATGGAGGCTGCCTGCCAGCCAGCCACAGGAAAAGGGTACACAGTGACCAAGATCTTTATTTGCAAAACTGAGCTTAAAAACAAAACAAAACAAAAACAACCAAGATTCTGCTACCTGTTAAATACTTATCGACAAAGAAAAGTGGTGGAGAAGTCTAGCAACATAAGTGGAAGATTACAGGACAGAATGTTATTCCAACGTAGCCTTGGGTTTAATTTAAAATGCGTGATCCACAAAGTCAGCTTAGTTAGGGGAAAGAGGGAACCCTGAGTTTAGACTCTAGTCCTGACTTTGCACAAACTTGTTAACAGCCTTAAGCATGTGAGTGAAACTCTGTGCCTGTGTTGCCTTACCCTTCAAATGATAAGACAATAGAATCATCTACGATAGTCATTTGTTATTTTTTTTTTCTTTTTTTGAGACAGGGTCTCACTCTGTCACCCAGGCTGGAGTGCAATGCTGCCATCATGGTTCACTGCAGCCTCCATCTCCTGGGCTCAAGCAGTCTTTGCCACCTCAGACTCCTGAGTAACTGGAACTACAGGGATGTACACTACACCTTGCTAAATTTTTTATATTTGGAGAGGTGGGGTCTCACTATGTTGCTCAGGCTGACCTCAAACTCCTGGCCTCAAGCAATCCTCCTGCCTCAGCCTCCCAAAATGCTTGGATTTACAGGCACAAACCACTGCGTCTGGCCTCTGTTACATTTTTTAAAATATAATAATTATGCTTGTTGTCCAAAGGTTTGACAGTTTACCCAATGGTTACTTCAACATTTTGAAGTGGATGCCATAAAGTCCTACAAATTTCTTTTATTTCAATAGGTTTTTGGGGAACAGGTGGTGTTTGGTTATGTGAATGAGTTTAGTTGTTGTATTTGTCCATTCTTACACTGCTCTGAAGAAATACTCAAGACTGGGTAATTTATAAAGGAAAGAGGTTTGATTGGCTCACAGTTCAGCATGGTTGGGGAGGCCTCAGGAAACTTACAATCACGGCAGAAGGGGAAGTAAACACATCCTTCTTCACATGGCAGGAGCAAGGAGAAGAAAGAGCTGAGCAAAGGAGGAAGTGCCTTATAAAACCATCAGATCTCATTAGAACTTACTCACTATCACAAGAATAGCATGGGGGAAACCACCCCCATGATTCAGTTACCTCCCACCAGTCCCTCCCACCACACATGGGGATTATGGGAACTACAATTCAAGAGGAGATTTGGATGGGGACACAGCCAAACCATATCAGTGGTGGTTTCTGAGATTTTAGTGCACCCATCATCTGAGCAGTGTACACTGTACTCAATGTATAGTTTTATCCTTCACCTCCCTCCCGCCCTTTCCCCAAGTCCCCAAAATCTATTGTATTATTCTTATGTTGTTGCATCCTCATAGCTTAGTTCCCACTTATGAGTGAGAACATACGATGTTTGGTTTTCAACTCCTACAAATTTTTATAGCCGGTTATGCCTTAAGTCCAGGATATTCTAAGACAGCATTTCTCAAAGTATGTGTTACAAAGTACAAATCCAAAAATAATCCACAAAACAAAGGCTCTGTGATGAAATAGATTTGGAAAACACTGCATATCATAACTTCACTTTTGGATATTCAATATCTACTTTAGCATATTAGAGGTTCTGAGAAGTCCTGAAGTAAAGAAATCACAGCTTTGTTTAGCTCACACCCCTGAGTCCTACTGACTTCCTTCTGTGCCTCTTTGTCTGAAGTCTCTGTTTCTCCCTCTCTCTAAGCCTTAGAAGGCTGTTCTGCCTGCTTGCAGAGCAGGCCTGAAATACCAAGAAATTAACACATACCCAAGAACACTCCTTAACCAATAACTGATGGGAGTTAAGGTATCCCAGCTCCCTTGCTTCTTCATGGGGATAACTGAGTCATACACTTAACACTGTCTCCTATCATTTCCTCATGCAGTTAAGTTAGTTCCAGCCACCCACAGTGGTTGCTGGCTTGAGAAGCTCCCCTTAATCAAGTGCCTTCCATTCCCTGCTTCCTCATTCCCATCTCCCAGATAAACTAACTACTAGCACACACATTCAACTGCAGAGTCTATTTCTGGGTCAGCCCAAACTAATATGCCCAGAATTTCTCACACATGTCTAATGATAGACCTTTACATCACACTTTTTCAATTAGTCAAAACTCCAGAATCAATCCCAAGTGGTTGATCCAAGTGGCGAGTGAGAGAAGCCCCAAAAAAACTGGTGAAAACAGAAAAAAAGTAGTTTATTTAAGACCAGGACAAGACTGGCTTTAGGCCTGGCAGGACTCCGGGGCTTGGACAGTATCATCATGACTCACTGTCTCCATTTCTGGACGCTACACCTTTGTGTTGCCTTCATTCAAGTAGGCTCCTTTCACAAAGCAGAAAGATGACCATCTGCATTGAGCTTACATTCTCTCTTTTCAGCAGCCCCAATGGAAAAAAGGGGCCTCTCTCCCTCTCTCAATAATTCCAAAGAGCCTAGAAGAAATCTCGCTGGACTGTCTTTTGTCAATAGTCATTGCAGCACCAATTCTTGAGACTGGGGAGAAGGAGTGTACTGACTTCATAGTCCTGAGCCACGTGCCTACCTCTGGAGCTGTGCATATGGCCCTCAGTCACACCCAAACCACATGGACCAGTGATGATGAGGGTTATTGCTTCCAGCAGAAGGAAATGCCTTCAGGGCACAAATAACAGACATCCAGTCTACTCTTTAACATTCTATGGGACTCACTTGGGGAGATGCTTTTCTACAGCATTCACAACTACTTCCTCCAAAATTCCTGAGAAAGTCTTTCTCAGAAAAATCTGAAAGTGAAGTTCAAAGAGTGAAGAATTTTGATAACTTTACATCACCCTAATAAACTTTTTATACATGATTTTATTGATACCACTAATTCTCTACTTGCTTTTCTGGTTTGGGTACATTTAAAGAAGTATTGATCATTACGTTTGGCATTGCTTGCCAAAAGAAAAGGTACTCCATCGATTCCTTTCCGTCAACCCTGATCCTCATGATTAATTCTTTACTATCCAGTCAAGAAAGGTGATTGAGTAGCCTTAAGCAAATGGGACATACACACAGCAATTGAAAAAACTAAGAAAAATGGTGGTTAAAATGTATTCCATAAACCACCCATCCACTACTGGAAATGTTTTTGTTTGGTTTTATTTACTTTGTCTTTCCCACAGGGGAAAAAAAATTAAAACCCAGCAAAGAAAAAAAAAAGATTTACCTGCACATTGTGGTTTTATTGGTGTTCCTATAATTTATTACAATGAAAGAAATTAATTTATAGATGACAAACATGGGATCATCACATGAAGCAAAGGAAAACACACCAAGAATGTTCTAATTGGCAAGAAAACATTCATCTGTGGCTGGAATAGCCAAAGAGAAGGGCAAGTTCTACATACCAGCCCTGAAAAGCATTATTGGTTTTTAAATTACAAGTCTTTCCAATTTTTTTTCTATCTTTTTTTCCTCTCTGTTCCTATGGTCTCCCCACAAAGGAATCCCACTGAGGAATCTTGTCTATATTATCGGGGGAGCTGTTATACCACTTCCTTCCAACTTCCTTTGATCATTTTCTACTTTTCAAGAGAAGGGCCCCCTGGCATTTCTATTGACTCCCTTGACAAACATACTATTGATGTTTATCATAAAAAAGATTCAGTATTAAAATTACACGATTTCAGAGTTTCTTGGTCTACCAATATGGAGCCTACCAAGGTCAATTCGATTTTCAAACAGAAAGTGGGTCCTCTTTGAAATTTCAGTTGTGGTCTCCACTATGCTCACACATGTGCACACTTGGCTAGAAGCATGGATTAAGTGCTACTGCCCCAAGTGACTGCACCCCTGCCACCCAAGTGCACTCTATATGAGCACACCTTCATGTTTATGAGACTCTACTTTCTCCCAGGTACCTTGGAACAGCCTCAACAACCAACCTATGTAGCCCAGGAAGGAGGAACTTACATGTGAAAATATGAAAAGGTTCAACCATACTCCAAAATAAATGGGACATCAGTTCCATTCAGCTCCTTAAAAGCATTCTTTTAAAGAATATTAATGATATAGGAAAATGCCAACAATAAATTTTTTTTAAAGACTGAGAAGAAAGACACAAAATATTAACTGTAACATTCTATCTCTGGGTGATAAAAGTCTCAGTGTTTTTTGTTTTCCTCCATGGTTTCCTGATTTTCCCACATTTTCTGCAATGAGTATCTGTTACTTTATAATCAGGTAAAAATAACAAATACTAAATTTTTTTAGAGATTGAAAAGTACAGCAAGCCTCTGATAAAAGTCTATAGTCTTTGACATTATAAAAGTGCTGCAACTGGTGAGACCAAGCAGGTCATCACTACAAAAATCAGAGCCTTGGACCGGGTGCAGTGCCTCACACCACTGGGTTCGGTGGCTGAGGCAGGTGGATCACCTGAGGTTGGAAGTTCGAGACCAGCCTGGCCAACATAGCAAACCCCATCTCTACTAAAAAAAAAAAAAAATACAAAAAAAATTAGCTGGGCATGGCGGTGGCACCTGTAATCCCAGCTACTCAGGAGGCTGAGGCACAAGAATCGCTTGAACCTGGGAGGTCATGCCACTGCGCTCCAGCCTGAATGACACAGCAGGACTCTGTCTCAAAAAATTAGAAAAATAAATCAGAGCCTTGGATTCCCTTCCATTATATCAAATGCTTGTCACCACACCCTGTTATATAGCTCCCCAATAATACTGCAACCTCCTATCAATATCATATCTCAACTTTATTGTCCCAAAAATGCTTAGTGCTTTGCACAAA